CCTTTAGGCTCCCCCCTCCCCAGCAAAGAAGAGGCCGTGCCGGTGTTTTTCCACTCAGCAGGATGGGTGATGCTCAAAGCTCCCTCATTAGACAACAGACACGAGAGGTCAGGAAGAAAGCGCTTATAAATTACCGTTTCCTCCTGCTCGGCGCTGCTAGTCGCGCCGCACCGCTCCGCCGGACGCGCCGCACCGCCGCAGGGGCGCAGCGGCGCGCAGGCACCGCGGCCAGCGGACACAGGTACCGGCACCTCCCGGGCGGGAGCGCGGGCGGGCGGTGGGGCTGCCGCTGCTGCCGCCGCTGCCGCTGCGGTGCTGGCGCTGGCGGTGGCGGTGGCGGTGGCGGGGCTGGCGCGGATCGCCCCTCGCTGCCGCGCCGAACAAAGGGGCGGCAGCTCCGCGCCCAGCGGAGCCGAACCGAGCCGGGCCGGTGGCGGCGGCATCGTCCTCCCTTTGTCCGCCTCGACTCGGGGTGCCCCCGGGCGCGCTTTCCCTTCCCCCCTTCCATTTATTTATTAATTCATCCTTCTCCTTAAAGCCCCCTCCTCCCCAGCGCTCGCATTACCTCGGCGGTGTTTTTTCTCCCCAGCGGTTATTTACCCCACACCCCCCCACACCTTGCGTTAACTTTTTTTGGCGATAAAATTCTCAGCCATTCCCCGTTGGCCGCCCTCCAGCAACATCGACGGCGCACGCTTCTCTCCCCGGCTATTTTTGCCCATTTTTTCTCCCACCCCTCCCCGCTGTGCTTTCTCTGTCTGCCGTGCGCTAACCTCGAGTGAAGAGACTGGTACAGGCAATGCTACATCTGATGCTAATGGGCCTACCTGGTGGGTAATACCGCTGCTGCTGCTGCTTTCTTGTGATTTCACTCGTTTTCCTTTTTACTCCCCTAATTTTCCTTTTATTTTGTGGCTTCTTGACATGCTGAAATCAAAGTAGTGATGGGGCTTAGAAATAAAACATAGGGACTACACAGGGCAGGTTACCAAGCTCAGCGTGGTGCGAAGGGGTGATAATTCTGGGTTTGTCTGGGGGTAACTTGGATCCAAAATTCACCCGCTGGCTTTAAGATAATGAATGCCCATTGCTGCCTGGTATTATAGCAGGAGGTATGTGGGAGGACTCACAAGGTTTCCATATAAGAGCATGGGAGAATTTATTTCACCCAGGCGAAGAAATGTGCAGAGTATGTGTTATTTATGACACTGAAGGCAAGCTGTGTTGTCCTTAGGCAGCTCCAAGAGTGGCAAAACTTGGTATTTAGAAATTGTAGAAGCTGATTTCTGCTGTTTAGTAAGAGCTATGTTTAAAGGGTGAAAATAAAAGAAAGGAAAAAGTAGTGGGAGAGGATCCAGATAAACACGAAGAAATACAAACCCACACTTATTCCAGCACAGTTTGTGCCAAGGTGTAAAGATGGAGGTTTTTGATGAGTTCCCATGTTTTTTAACCGTATTGGGAAAGGCATTAAGAAAATGTGCCGAGAGGAGCTGGTTACGTTGATAGTGCTATTTTGGTAACTGCATTTTTTTTTATTGCTTGCATGTGAAAATGTTTTGAGTTTTGGACTAGCAAAAGAGTGAGGCAGTCCTGACGGGGACACATGTCATCGGCTGTGTAATTCAGGGTTCGGATGACAGTTGCTACCGCTTTAGGTTTTATGGCTTTAGGTTTGAGGGTAAATCAGCCCGTTAAAACCTGCTGCTGTGGAATTTCGATGGGAGAGGCTTTGGTGAGAGCTCTGATGGTTGTTGACAGCCGGGTGTTTACCTCTGGGTCTGCGTTCAGCCGAGCTGACTGCTTTCTGGCATTGCCTACCTTTGCCACAAGTGGTACGGAAAGGTTTCCTTGAAGGTTATTGGGGGTTTTTTTAAGCAAAATGTGTGAGCAGCTGAGACAGCCAGCAGTGTGACAGTGACAGTGTCCCTCACCCGGACCAAGTCTGAAGCACGAGTGTGGAAGGAGGATGTCTGTGCTGCCCTCGTTAAACTGACATTAGAAACTTCATTTTTGGTACTTTCAGAGATAGTATCTTCCTGTTTCCCCTTCAACTGTCTCTTATCTGCTTTGCATGTTCTCTTTTTGTCCTTTTTCTCTTTATTTGTCTGTCACCCCTGTCCCTTCCCCTTCGCACCTCTCCCGCCTTGGTGCCCAGCGCAGCTCCCGCTGGAGGGCGGCAGACGCCTTTCCCCTGCCCGGGGCTGCCCGCGACCCCGGCCCGCGGCCGGGACGGCAAAGGCCGCTTCTTGCCGGCCTTTATTAACCTGCTGCTGTCACCTGAGCTGTGATGGTTCATTTCTGTCATACTTGGCAAAAAGCAGGAGGTCGCAGGTGGCACCGTGGTACCTGTAGGCCCCGAGAGGGTGGATGCGTGCTCGGGGGTGCTGCATCGAAATCCTGGGGCATTCGGTTTGTTTGCTTGAGAAATCTTGGTCTGGAATCTGGTAGAAATTTGGAATCTTTCAAATGCTACCGACTTCTGGTTTATTTTATTTTTCTGTAACCAGAAACAAAATTTGGCATACAGCTCTTCATTGGTAGTTTCAAATGTGGAGCTTTTGCGTGGGTTGCCTGGAGCTTTCATGTCAGAGGTGAAATGTTGGGGCGATGGCAGGAGACTTGAGCTGGTGTGAAATGCTGGCAGAAAAGAGGTGCCACATTGTCCTGGAAAACTAGGAAGACACTTCAGGTTGGTTTGCCCTTGTTGCAGAGTGCTTGGGAAACCTCCCTTGCCTGAGTGGAGTTCTGTTTGTAAAGCCTTGGTGTGGATCTTGTCGTACAGCTAATCATTGCTAATATTTCAGTGAGGGTTTTTTTTAAAATCAATACTCTTAGTGTATCCTAGTGGCTTCCAGCCAGGTCCTATGGGCTGGATGTTTCCGAAGAGACTCTTGGGCACTTTCCAGATGATGATATTCCTAGGATTTTCATCAATGCACATCAAGGCTTAGCAGCAACCCCCTATTATTTTAATTTTGCCCCTTCTATATTTTCCAATGCCCCATATTTTTGCCCCAGTGGTCAGTGGGGCAACATGGTAGTGCTGCCAGTTCCACCAGTAAGGGGAGTCTCTGCACTGGTGCCATTAAAAAAACCTGGAGTTTTAATCATGCTGGCAAACAGCTCTGAAAAGATTATGCTAATTAGTTTCTTATAAATTTAACCATATTACAACACTTAAAAATGGATGGGAAAGCCGTGGTAGTTGCACCCTTTTGTAAGTAATGTTTATTTGATTGGTCATATGAATAAATTGTAGATCATTTAAGAAGGGAAGCTTTGAATAGATTACCCAGTCGGATTAGTGCCTTTGACTTCTTTTCATCACTAACTTAATGACCAGAATGGATCAGGGTTATTTTTCTAAAAAGTAATCCTGTGTCTGCTCCAGTAAGAGCTCTGTACACGGAACTAAAATTTATTCTAATGGCACTCTAGGGGGGCTGCTTGCAGGATTGGGTCCTTGGCTCTTGGAAGAAAAGCATGAGGGTGAAAATGCAGTGATTTAATAGTTGTTGAATTTCTTCCATGTATGCCTATTTAATTGAACCTTCAGCTGTTGTAGCTCCATGAATTTAATTGATTTGTGTGAGCTTTGTTTACATCCCAAGGCATGTAAACTTTAAATTGCTTACATAGTAGCTAATATTGATACAAAGTAATACAGTAGAAATTAATTGAACATTCCACTCTGCACTGTTCATTTTTCCCTAAAAACCTGCTGTTGTAAGGGCTGCTGTGCTGCCAGTCAGTGACTGAAACCATGGCTGGTGTCCTACAGCATCCTCTCTTTTTTTCAGTGTGTCCAGATTTACACCAGCAAAAAGCCATTTGGTGCCAGCCCTAAACCCTGTTCCAAGAGCATCCACCAAACCCACCAGCTCAACTGGTGGGAGGGGAGTGTGAATCAAATGCCAGCAAGCTTTGGGTGGTGGCAGCAGGGTGGCAGTCCCATGGCTGCAGGAGGTGGCTGTTGGGGCCTGCTGGGAAGGTTCCCCATTTCAGCAGTTACTGGGTTTCCTGTTGTGGTTCTCTGTCACTCAGAATTGTCACAGCCACGAAGGACGCCTCGCTGCCGTGGCTGCCCAACCTGGGCTTGAATGCAGTCAGTGCTTGAGCACTGGCATGGAAAAACAACCCTGCTGTGCCAAAATGCAGTAGGAGGGCCCTGCTTCATGGTGTTGGTGTCAGTCCCATGTCCATGGGTAGGAGAGCAACCCAAACACTGCGCCATGGGGTTATCGCTGAGCTGGAATGTAGTTAAAGGTTCTTTTATTTCTTCATTTTTTATCCAGATCACATGGCATTTGTATTTTATTTCACTGCTGCGGTGTAATTGTCCTGCCATTTAGAGGGGATATAGTCATATCTCCTGTGATGTTCTATTTAGGATGAAATGCACAAGAAATGATCTCCTGTTTTGACATTGGTGCTGCATCCAGTGTCTTGGTGTTCTTCAGATAGAACTTTTTACTGATGAAATTCAGAAAACGCAGTGCATTATAGCATTGAAACATGTCTGACTTATCTTGCTGGACCCATTTTTTTCCTTTAAAATATTTTTTCCCTTTTCTTTTTCTCTTTTTTTTTTTTTTTTTCCAAACAGGAAAAGAAAATACATTCAGCAGAGATTCTTCTTCATGTAAGTGTTATTTATGCTTGTTTATGAAATTGCAAAAAGGCTTAAAAAACTCATAACATTCAAATACTGAACACTTACCATCTGTTTGTAGAAACCAAGTATAGAGCATGTGAAAATAGGCTGTATTTATACAGCAGTAATGCTCAGCAACTGATATCTTAAATTTGTCTGTGCAGTTCTTCTGTGTGTATCACCACAGAATTTAGAAAACATTGCAAAGCACTTTGTAGACATTTAAGCAGCATGCCCATAAAGTCGGTGTGTAAATCCTGGAGGGATAATGTTAAAATGGTTTGCCCAAAGCAGAGGAGACACGTAAGTGAGAGCTTGATTTAGCACCCCAGAGTCCTTGCTCCCCAAACGCTGTGACAAAGTCAGCTTTTGTGCCTTGGATCCTACAGAATCCAAGTTCTGCCCATAGTTTGTTGTGTGCAGGTGTGTGCATGTGTGTGTGGGTAAGAGAGAGTGTCTGTGTGTGTACCTGGCCTCAAATAGCCTGTAGGTATTTCAAGCCTTCTCCACAACCTATGGTGGTGCCCATTAAAGCAAGAGTAGATGCCACCAGCCTTTGGTGGGTACTGTTGCAAATGTTTTGTGAAAGCATTTGGCTCCAGCCTGGCTCTCAGTCTGGGGGAGCCTGTTAAAAGTATTCTTCGTGGGACTGAGAAAGCTGCATGTCATAAAAACCCAACAGGCTTTTTTCCACACCATCTAGCGACCTGGTTGTTGGTTTGGTTTTTTTTTTAGCAGATCTCAGCTTTGAAAACTGTTGAGTAGTATAGAAAGCTCTGCTCTGGTATTTCTTCCTAGTAAATAAATCTGATTAAATGTTTTACGGGGCTGTATAGATGAAGACTCTCATTGCCTTTATGCAAAATTAGCTTAGCAAGGAAAA